CGGCCTGACGTAAAATGATTAGATTTTGGACAAAGTCGGAACATCTGGGGGGGTACTTTATGAGAGGCCGTTTTTATATTTTATGGAATATGTCTGTTATTTATGTTTGGAGAAGAAAATTGTTCAAATAAAAGTTACTTCTAATATTATTATCTATAATTTCTGTATTTTGTCAAAATTTTCTAAAATGGTCCGTATTCGAGAAATTTGACAAAATGTGCAAAATTCAGATTTTTATGAAAATTGTTGAACTAAAAGTTGTTTGCGATATCGATCTCTATAATTTTTGTTTTTACATGATTTTTTAAATATTTTTTATAGAGGTGCTGCAATAGGTTGTACAAAATAACCAAAAAAAGCCTACAATAACTAGATAGGAAAGTCATGTGTTGGCCACATCAGATTTTTAGATAAGAAATAATTTGAAAAGTCGGAAACAAATCTCAAAATTCCCCTTATGAATTATTAAGACCATCCCCCAACCTCAAAGGTGAAAAAAAAATACTTGGAGATTTGAAAAAAGCCTGTCGTCGCCACCCAAGCAGCAAGGTGTCGTCATTATGACCGTGATTTTTTGGGTTTACTAGTCAACTGAAAACACATATATATTAAGTTTGTTCGAGCTGCAGTTTGTAAATTTTTTTCGTAAAATTACGGTGCCTTATGTTTTGATATGGATAATTAGTAATGTTCCCTTTTTTATCATTATATAATCATTCAAGATTTTGTTGGCTGTCTTTTTTTAACGTATTGCTTACCCAATTCCGATATCCTCGAATATCAAATTGCAATGAGTTTTGCTAATCTAGTACAATTGTACTGGATCTAGTACATCCTAAAGGTAACAAGTACGCTAGAAACGAAATTCAGTACATTGTCCGCTATCGTCCAGTGTAATTAATATAAGTTAAACTAGTCAAAGTACCGTAAAGACTTAATAAATCCTAAACAATTGCTAATATTCCTAAGGCAACTAGAGAGGAACCCAATTCTAGTACATTTTTATGAAATCTGGTAAAATTATTTATACCAATCTATTATTAAACTAAAAAATATTCTGTCAATGTCATATTGTCAATTGTCAATTGTCATTGTTGTTTCCTATTTCCTCCATCTTCATTATTCTCGTGACAGTCGTACGTGGTACATTTTTAAATTGTACTATATTTGATGAGATGTTTTAGAAAAATGTAAAAAATAGAATGTGACAAAATAATAAAGTATATTAAACCGAATTTGGTATTTTATAGATGTATTGCATTAGTGAGTTTGAAAAACCGGATGATGACGGTCTGACGGTTGTAAAATGAGCAGAAAGTGGCTCACGTCGCGTAAAAAAAGAAATATATAAAATATATAAAGAAATATAATTTATTACTGGTGAGTAATGTAATACTTTTATTTTTTGATTATGAGTTCTTACAGGGTATTTTTTTAATAGTTTATTTAAAAATGAAAGATTTGTAGGAGGTCACTTGATTTAGATACCTTTTATTATCTCACAGGGTATATGATCCTTTTTTTAACACGCTTATATTAGCTTCATATGTATGTATGTAACTCTCCTTTGGACTCAAGTGGCTTATTACTGTCAGTATATCACACTAAGTCAAGTTCGTTCGTTAGCCTACAAATTTTTTTTTTTTATAATTAATCGAACTAAAAAGTAAAAAATAAATATAGTTCAAAAAAAACTAAAAAACACATTTTTAGAGCATATCAAACTAAAAAGTTAACATAATTTTTTTTAACATGCTTTTATTCAAATAAGCTTAAAACAATAATAAATGGAAACTACTAGTATTATTGTGAAAAAACCGTGAGGCGCTTTGTCCATATTTCTCGTACATCGAGCGCCCGACGCTTTTTTCACAATAACTAGTATTTTCCATTTACTCGTATTATTGTTTTAAGCTTATTTGAATAAAAGCGTGTTATAAAAAATTATTTTAACTTTTTAGTTTGATATGCTCTAAAAGCGTGTTTTTTAGTTTTTCTAAACTAAATTTATTTTATTAACTTTTATTATAAACTCAGACTATATGTATACCTCTGAGAAGGTAGTTTTTGGGGCTACTGCCTCAATCTCCGGTGAAGTAATTCCTTCAGATTTAACAGCTAGATACACAATTACTTTCTATCTCTAAGAATTTTCAGTGGTCTGTATTTTAATAGTTCTTTTATTTTAGATGATATTGATAAGTGATGTACCAAATTAAAAAAAGTCGAAGTTACCTCAGATCTACATTCCGAGGCTGATAAAGTACCTACTAAAAGAAAACAGGTTTCAACTAGAAAGCTTTCATTCGATGATACTGAAGATGATGAAATCGTAAAGCATGCTCGCCCACCCCCAATTAAAATTAAATCTACAATTTTAGATATGTTGTGTCAGTTCCTCTAATATTCTTTTGTCATTTTATTTCTTTTAGTTTCTTGCTCATGACTTTTTATTTATCAGTATAATTTATTTTTTATAATATATTTTTCATGTGCTTTTGGATTAAATAAATAACTTTCAACTGCTTAGTATTTTTAATAATTCTATCCAACCTTAGGACACCCAATATAGACGTCACTTTGACGTTAGGTAGATTCTTGATAATGACGTCATGTTGCCTAGCCTAGGACACCCGATATACACGTTACTTTAACGTAATATCGATTCGTCAAAATGACAATAATGAATTACGTCATTTCGCTGTGACATTCTCACGTTACTATAACGTTATTTTCACGTCATTATATGACGTAACGCACATAAAAAAATCACGTTATAATTACGGCATGATGTTGCATGGGCAGGATTTAAACCCAAACATCTTTGTTCTCTAGACAAATGCCATTACCGCTAGAAATGGCTAAAATAAAAAGTTACTTAATTAACAGTCATATTACTGAATCCTAATCCTCCCTGTTTTAAATAGTAATATCACAAGAGGTGAGAAGGTTTTGAGAATATTTTGTTATTTCTTTGAAATAAACGAAATAAACTCGTTTTTTAAATTTCGGTGCTTCTCTTCTAGATTGATCTCCTACCTACTTTAATCTTCATTTATTTACAAGTTCTTTGTATTCTCTCTGTATCGCTAACTATCTCATATCACCAACATTATTACTCTCTTCAATCATATCAGTGGCGGCGGTAAACGTTTGGGCCACCCCCCAAAATTATGTGACAATATAAGTACTAATTGTCAGTATCGTATCGATACATGTTTTTTTTTTTTTTTTGGGTGGGGGACTCATATAATACGTATATAAGAAGGATATAAATGTGAATCAACCGTAAAGAGAAAACATACGCAATATGAGGTTTGATAGGGACCCGGGCCCCTCTGTCTCCCCTCTAGATCGCATTAAATATAGGTAATAAAACTTACTAATGCAAAATCTGATAATTGCAAAGTTACTTTCCAAATCGCCGTTTTTTACTTTTGCAGTCGGATTTCCTGAACTTTATTATTTGATAAATAATTTCAGGGAGGGTTCTAACCCCTAAAAACCCGCCCCCTAAATACGACCATGTAGGACCTCCACTCGGCCGGTTCCCTACAACGCCGCGGGGCTTGCGGGGGCCTTATCGCCGCCACTGAATCATATCCTCTTTTTCAACATCCATCTTCTTGTTCCCATGTCTCTTTTACTAGTTTTATTCGTTTTTCTTTTGCATCTTACTTTCTTCTCCATTTATTTCTAACTTCTTTGCATGCTCATCTAACTTCCTACCAAAGCTCTCTATCTTGCTAATTATATCATCTCTTAGTTTTCCTGTTTTCTCACATACCTACTCTATTCAATTATATCCTCTTTATTAACATCCAACTTATTGATCAGCTGATTTATCAACTTATCAATCATTTTCTACTATCATCTTTCTTCTATTTATTAAATACTCTATATCAACAATTTAAATAAATAAAAGCTAACCAAATTACTATTTCTAAATTATAAATTACTGTCCATGTTCGGCTCCATTTAATACGGAAAACCTTAGTGGTGTCCTCCACAGGAGCATCTAATTGTGGCTCTGTTTACCAACGTTGCTACATACACACAGCAAATTTGAAAGTTATTGAATGAATTATGTTTACCTAAGTTGTGATTATAATTGACAATTTTACGAATGTCATTCCCAACGAAGAAACCGTATCGAATGCAACGCACGCGTTATATTTTCCAAAAGATTGGGTTTGTCATGTGTTGGAATTTCAAAATATTGTCGATAATTAAGCGTATAGCAGAGGCAGAAGTTGTAAAGGCTTTTGTCAGTTCTCCCACTTTATACACATAAATTGACAGGTTTGCGGCGGATCTAACCGAAGTATTATTTTGATTTTTGCCAAATAAAATGGCCGTAATTATTCTATGTCGTTGCGACAGAGAGCCAGTAAATTTGATGAAGGTGTTTTTGTGGCTAGGGGCGAAATAGTAGTACGCTTAAATTAGCACCTCCATAAAAAAGTAATTTTTAAGAAACGGCTTATATATTTTTCATAAATTGGCAGGCTTGGCGACTAATTTTGAATAAAAATAGCCTCCAAAATGGCTATAGTTGCAAATATGAAAGTCGCAAGCCGCCTTAGAAATTTCACCTTTACTATCAACAGCTGTTGTTTGACAGGTCGTTAGAGAATGTTTGCAATTTATGGAATGTAAAAAAATGTTAGGAATGTTGACGTTAGAAATAATTGGAATTCCTAAAATTGTCACATAAGAAATGCATAAGCGGATTTTAAGAAAGTTGATATTAAAGTAGTTAGGATGAACCGAAAATTCTGAAAATCAATAGGGTTCTAAGTTAGAAGTAATTATTCAAGAAAATCAAAACCGCAAGTCAATCAGAACTCTCGTTCTAGAGTTGTCGTGCCAGCATACATACACACAGACGACCAGACGAAACATTTTTTTGCATTTTCGGACTCAGAATGATCGGAAACATAAAAAAGTTTTAAAAAATGGGGGTAAGTAAATTTTTTCTACCTGTGTGATCTTCATACCTGCAATTACCAACGATCTGAAAAATCTAAAATTCGCAAATTCGTTTTTCTTTTTTGTATCAGGTACCTAATCCATTTTCTCCTTAAAACTGTTTCTTCGGCAAAAACTTACAGTTCATTTTTATGTTTACACGCAACACAACTCATCAAAACCTTTTTATTTCGTTTAAAACAACCGTTTCTGTCACGACCATCACATGCACTCGACTTTTGAACCCTTAGAACAAAAAAAAAAATTAGAAAACCGATATATAACTCGTAGTAAAAGTAAAGCTAGCGCTTCTAGGATCAGGTTACGCTGCTCGTTAATGTTCTTTTTCTGTAAATCAGCGAGTATTCACCCCGTCCCGTTCTAGCAACAAAAACAATAATTGCCACATGTGACGGGTAAAACTTAAACCTAATTCTGGATGAGTAAAAAGTAACTCAACGCTGAAAAGTAGAAGACCGTTTCAAATCATCGTATTCTTGTATGTCATTGAGCTCGATCGCACCATATATTGGTCTAATGACTTCGGGTTCCGAGAAAATTAAAGAAATTTGATGGAGGGAAGGTTTTTCGCACGTACCGCTATCGCGAGATATTTAATTTCATCTTCGATGACAAATTGGTATGTTTTGGACTAAAGGAAAAAATAATATTTCAAATTCCTTGTGTACAGGGTAGGTACTCGAAGTCGAGTCGGTTAGTATAGCTTATTTATCTTCGAAATTGGACATTTACATTGTTCATATTTATATTTTCAACTTAATTTACAAATATAAAGGATATAAGAGAAAGATGTACAGTAAAATTAACCACAGCTTCTGGGGTTGAAAATAAGTAGATTTAAGCTAACTTTATTTTATAAAAATTGCTTTTACTCTAAAACGGCTTAACATATTTTTATGAGAATGTACAAGGAATGCAGTGGCGTAGCGTGGACCAAACAGCGTAAGGGGGGCAAAGCTTTTCGGGAGAGGGCAAACTTTTGTGAACGGCGCCAAATGTGCTCTAAACACAGAGGGCGATGGGGAGGTCATCACTGAATGTAAGTATAGAATGGCCAATAAAATAGATTAGTGGCGTTTAATTTTTTTTTTATTTTATAAATATTCAATAGAGTTCCACACCCCTCTGACCCTCTTATTTTTTAAGACAACGCAATTTAGTTAAAAACAGCACGGCACTAAAAATCTACATTTTGACATTTTTTTCCTGTTAGTATTTGTAAAAATCTTAATTATTGAATTGTAGGCCTTTGAAGTGATTTAAGACCAAAAGAAAAAGTTTCATTGTGAATATTTTTCACATAACCTTCTTTCAGGGGTCTATAACTCAGAAATTAAGACTTTAACAAATGAATACTAAGGGACAAACATTTTCAAAATAGATGTCCTGTTTTTAACTAAATTTTATTGTCTAAAAAAGTAGGAGGCAAACATATCAGCAAATGTATGCTGTTTATTATGTTTTTGATACCTTATAATTCTGGAATTGGCTTCAATATATTCTAATAAAGTTTATAATTATAGGTCATAATGACATTTTTTAGACAAATCTGGTATATAACAAAAACATATTTTAGCAACACTGTACCAAATCAAGCAAACTGTCACTGTCATTAATGTCATTCTATATTCCTCTGCTATTAAATACAAATAAAAACATGAGATTATTTTAATTGTGCTTATTTAAAAAAAATGTGTTTAATTAAGAACTGTATCTTCAATAAATTGAAAGTATTATTCCCGAAAAACTTCTATGTAAGGCAAGGTAAATTAAAATTTTTAAGGTTATGTTGATTTTTTTACCTATCATACAACTGTAATTTGTTTTATATTTTGTTTCAATGAGCTATTGCCCCAAGGTTTGAGGTTGTAATGCAGCTCTCCTCACTTGAGATAAGAGTGACTAGCTCAATTCATTTTATTTACAATAATCGGAGAGATAGGGTCGTGGAAAGATAAACAAAAGTATGGTTTAACCTTTTAATACTCAAGAAACTGGTCAGTCGTCTAATTAGAAAAGTGGAACAAATCCAGCAAATGTATTATAATATTAAAGTGACTTCGGTGCCCGTTTTGTACCAATCGATCACAAGGTAGAGTAAAACAAACTTAAGTTTGGTACAAACTTAAGTTTGGTACACCCACGTGTCGATCCGATGGTTGCGCCGTAGATTTGTTGACTATCGTTACCATGCCAACCTCTAACACGGCGATGGCCAGTACCGTAGCGTAAAGAGGGGAATAGGTGAAACAATTTGCATCTAACAGCGCTATGTGGTAGTGCTCTTTTTTATTCCAGTGGTGTATTTCCTTATTCTTATTTTTTTAATTTAGTGCCGTAGTAGTTATAATAGAGTAGCAATAATAGTTAGTGTATAAGTTTAGTTATAGTATCTACATAGTTAATTTAGAAATAAAAGTGATTTGGACGATATGGCTCCGAAAAAAATTGGCAGAAGGGGACAGGGATTACGCAGTCAAACAAAAGAAATCATTAATAATATTTCGAAATTTATGGAAGAAGAAGCGGCCCACTTCAATGCTACCAAGGACGTATTGATACCTTTAAAGAATTTTAGGTGAGTATTTTTAATTACATAATAATATTTTAATTATGTGGAACTATACAGATACGATACCATTGTGAAATTAAAAAAATGTTTATGCTCCTGCTGTATTGACATAATTTCACAGAGTACCTATAGGCTGAAACAATCAATTCTAACAATAATCATTCATTTAAAATGAGTTTCTTTAAAATACTCTATACCTGCAGGCAGTGGGTTATTGTATTTTATATTGTAACATTTCGTGTTTGGTTGTGCTATTTACTTTTTGGACAATAAAAAGAAGTAAACAAATATTAAAATAGTAAAAATAAAATAAGATTTACAATATATTTTCAGAGAACGGATTTTAGCAGCGACAGGTGTAAGTAAAAACATCCTTCAGAAAATAAGGAAAGAAGGGGGAGAATTAAACAGAAATATAGCCTATTCGACGTGTCAAAAAAATTAAGTTAAGCCCTGGAGAAACATAAACACTTAAAAATGTAATCTATGACTTTTACACCATCGAGAAAAGATCACATACACTTGCTGGTAAGTATATAAATTTTCGTTTCCAAACATTTTAAGTACCTACTTCTATTTATTCAAGGTATTATGCAAAAGATGAAGGACAAACAAATGGAATTTTCAGGGTCAATTGAGACATTAAGGAAAACAATAAACGAGTTAGGATTCAGGTGCTTATACTTTTAACGATCTACCATTCCGCTAATTTACGGTACTTATTTACAATATACAATAAATTAGGACAAAGCCTTTTTGCGTATTCTTCAAATAGTTCAAATATTTTATAACATATTACAGGTGGCGAAAAACAGAAGATAATCGGAGTGTCCTGATAGAAAACCATGATATTCGAATAAAAAGAATTGAATATTTGAAGAAGCTACTACAATATAGATCTGAGGGTAGACCAACAGTGTATACTTGCTTATGCTAATTTTTTATAAAGTACCTATTGCTACGTAGGTATATACATGTACTTTATTGCAGTTAACAAGTTTTCCAAAACTACATTTTATGACAAACTTACAATAATTTAAAATATACGCTCCGTAAGTTAGGTTGTTTAGTGGATACAATTAAGTACATTTAGTAACCTGCATGTTTATTCTAAATTAAAAAAGCATAACAACTTACGTACCTATTGTACAAAGCAAATTAATTACCTTTCGAATTTTGATAATTACATGCATAAAAAAGTATTTCTATTTTTCCACTTATTTTCGTCCCCCGCCACTGATAAACAAAGCCCGCCTATATGCGCAGATTAGTATGCAACCAACATTTGCTGTCCCAAACTTAAGTTTGTTCTACTCTAAGTACGAATAAGTGTATAAGAGCATACATTTAATAATACTGAAAATATACCTAAATCTTATTATGCTATATACAATAAACTTTCGTTATTTATCTAATATATTTTATTTTAGGCTCTATGAGAAACTAAATAAGCTATGCCAAAACAGCCAACAAAAGTAAGAGTAATACCCACTTAAGATTTTCTAAAATAAAACTATTGATAGAATGTAAACAGCTTTTAATGTAATAAGGCAATAATACTAAAGGCTATGATTTATATACAAGATAATACTATGACAATGATGTTATTAAATATATGTACAGAAAGGTGATGCACGGTAATGTTTTTAGCAATAATATACAAGGACTAAGCGTGGCTAAAATAGAGCTCAGACAATGAAGTAGGCAATGGAACGTTCTTACTTGTTCTGTGGTTTCCTGATGATCTACCATCCAGAGGTTGTTCTCGTCAGAGTTATCAATCGGTTACTAAGGGCTGGGCCAACAAGCTAAGCAGAAAGCGGTGAACTATAGTAAGGGTTACTTCCTTTACTGGAACCGCTAAGCCAAGCACTGACGATAGTGTGTCCAAATTAAATAATAGCTACTAAATACTACAGGAGTGGCACAAGAAGCTCTACAGAATGGATACAAACAAGAAGGCCGTAGATGTTAGGTGGCCTTTGGAAGAAAAGTAATATTTCCACAACAAGGTGCTGTCAATAATGACAAATATACTTTAAAGGTAAACTTTCTCTTTATATTATTAGCCAAATAATCCGAATAAAAATCGTGAATTTTCAGGTACCACATGGACCAAATAAAGCTAATTGAAAAAGGACAGAAGAGGAAGGAAGTTCTTTAGCCAGAAAGACAATCTAGGGTTGCCAACAAATTACCATATTTAAGGACCAAATGACCTTGGCCTTGAACTTAAATTTGAATAAATGAAAGTGAATGTAGATTTTAGCAAAGAAGAAGTAATTTGGAATTTAAATAATTGCAATTAGATTCATAAAAGAGAAGAAGGAAGGTCAAGATCGACAATTTATGTCAAACTGTTTGTTTACATTCAGGTACAGGTTATAGAAAATTAATATACATAATTTGAACAATCTTGTGTTTCCTTTAATCGACAGGTACGCTTATTATTAAATTATTTAAATTTTATAAAAATATTGCAACGATAAAATGCGAACCGTAACAAGTGTCTAAGACCATCCATCCCACATATCTTCATGATTTGGCTAATGAATCCTATAAGTACACATCAAAACATTAATATACTATCTACAATTAAACAATAATTTGAAAATACAGATGAAGCCGATTTACCTATTTAGACAAAAT